ATCTATACCTCAAAGCAGTATGAAGAAACACAATGATGGTTAAGAGTGTGTGAGTATATTGTTACATGTGTGAGTACAGTTTTAAGGAAAATGCATCTTGCTATGTGAAGCACTTCAGAAGACTAGTGTACTCATGTTATGATCACTAAATACTATGCAGATAAAAACTTTTAACATTAATTATAATTTGTGAGGACAACTAAGCATGAATATTTTCAAGATGTAATGTGGGGGTTTATACAGTAGAACCCCCGTATACATGGACTCGGTTTCCACGGTTTCAGTTATCCATGGTATACGGTGGCTTAATAACGGCCCCAAAGTGCAGAAATAGTGATGGTAGCCGTTGTTCAGTGCCTAAGAGAAGCTGTGATGTGCTTCCCATCAGTCAAAAAGTGATCATTCTTGACTTACTGTGTGAAATTTATCAATTAAACTTTATCATAGGTATGTATGTATGTAAATGAAATACTAGTTATATATAGTGTTTGCTACTAACCACGGTTTCAGGTATCCATGGTAGATCTTGAAACACATCTCCAGTGGATATAGGGGGACTACTGTAATACAATGGGCAGTTTATATTATACTTGGCAGTTGTTATGCAGGGTTCTGCATGACATTGTAATGTACATATAGTGGAGAAGTGCGCCATAATAGTATGAATGTTATAATTGTAAAGTATAATTTTATAATTTATAATGTGCATTTAGGGGTACTGTAAAGTACTCTAACTGTAATTATAAAGAAATCCTGCTAGGTATTTATTTTCCAACTGTGTTTGGGTATGCGGGGTAAGCGTGGCTAGGAGGAGTCATGTGGAGTCAGCATGGCATGGAGGCTGGCATTGGAGATGCTGTGTATTTAAACTAAGTTTGTAGTTGTGTACTCCTTTTGTTTACCTAACTCAAGCCATAGGCTCTTCTATGGTTTACCTGTATGCTCACCTAGGCTCTGACATGGTCAGGGTGCTGTGGGATGAGTGAGGAAATAAGAAATGAGGTTGGTATTAGAGTAGCGATGGCCTGGCGCTGACTAGGCTGAGTGTTATGGTTACTGGACCGCCAGCCACCTGCTTCTTGTGGGCGTTTAGGATAGAAGATAGATGAAGGTGTTTCTAGAGTGTGTACATAGTGTTATCTTGAATAAATAGATATATTTTCCTAACTAGGATTTTTGCCTAACCCTCTGTTAACCAACCCACTGAAGTAACAAATACTGGTTTAGCACTTTCTGTTTTGACTGGAATAGCCCTGGGTGGCCTGTTTATGCTTAAGATGAGTGTAACTTTTACCTTTGCCCTTAGACAAGGCTCTAGCCCCCAGCTGTCCCACATTTCTGCGTAACAGCAGTTTATATTACACATGGCAGTTTATATTACACTTGGCAGTTTATATTACACTTGGCAGTTTATATTACACTTGGCAGTTTATATTACTCTTGGTAGTTTATATTACACTGGGTGGTTTATGTCACCCACACCTGCCCTCCTATGCCCACAAACTTAGGTTGCTCACACCAGTACTGCAACCTTAACCCTTTCATTGTTTCTTGCGTACAACTACATCACTGAGGCCAGTGTCGTTTGTGTAACTCTGCATCTTAATCAAAGAACCCTTGTGTTTGATATCATATGTCAAGTTTGGCCTAGACATGAGAGAATGGGTCTGTGTGGTAGATGTGCACAGAATAAAATGATAAATTAGACACATGTGCAACACTTGGGTATCTTTATTGAGGAAACGTTTCGCCACACAGTGGCTTCATCAGTCCATACGTAGGAGAAACTTGAAGAACAGGAGGAGAATGAGGTAATCAGTCCCTCAACCTTGAGTCAATGTGTTCAGTCCATCAATCTTGAATAGAATACGGCACATCAGCGGAGAAGCAGCTTATAAACCGTATGGCAGGAGAGGTGCAGCAGTCATAGGTCGTGTCACATTTGTTCAATGTGGAAGTAGGTCGTGCCCAAGAATTAGGCAAGCGAAGAATTCCTAAGTATTAAGATCCCAAGAAGTTGCAGTGTCTGACAATAAAGATACCCAAGTGTTGCACATGTGTCTAATTTATCATCATGTCGGTTCTCTGAACCATTCATCTACAGAATAAAATAAATCTTGCCCCATGCAGTGATAGCCTCTGAGTGTTTGTGTTAAAACGGTGTTTTCCTGGGTGCTTTTTCATGGTTTTACTGAATGTCTTTTGAGGCACAATGGTAAAAACACTGTAGTCCAGAACCTAACTAGTGAAATGGAAAAGATTTTAGTTGGCTTCAGACTGATAGTGGCCTGAAATATGCCGCAAATGGGCAGAAATATTAAATTTTTGCAAATTTCCTGAGGAGGTCATCATGATTCATGAAATCATAACAACATGACTGCAAACGAACCAGGGTACAGGCAGGGTTAGAACTCATGGCAAGTGAATCATAAAGCTCCAGGCCAATGCATAAGCCACTGTTTTTTCCTGAGGAAGTGCAGGAGCCTGAATCCATTCTCTCCCCCCCCCCCACAGGTTTTGAATAGGTCCACTTAAATTATTAGGAAGGCTTACACCACACCCCATCATTCTTGGTTAGTATATTTTATTATCTGAGAAATAGGGCAAAACTTTTTTTTTTTTTTATGACAGATTCAAAATGGAGGGCAAGTGTTCTATAGGAGGCACCTGAGGACATTATTAATAAACAGAAGAAAGATTGCTTTGGTGACTGGAATATCTATAGTGTTTATTTTGTACTTTTTTTAAATTTAAATTTGTTGAATTTTTTGTAAAAATGGCCAAATTACTGACTTCTGTGCATTTTACAGGGTAGGTCTGATAGTTGAATTGGCAGCTTTATGCACTTAATCAATAGAATGGTAGGTATACTAGCATGTAAGCAAATGCTATGACATATTTATTAGAAAATGTTTTGGTCCTGGGACCTTGATCACTTCTAACATACAGAGGTAGAAAGATATTATATGTAGGTGGAGAGTGAGGTGTGAGTGACGCATGGTGACCTGAAGAATGCCATGTTGGGATGAGGATGGGTAGATGATGAGATCATGTGACTCCTGTGTTGTTGGGTTGGTGGTGCTTAGCCTGCTTATTTATCATGTATGTTAATGTTTTAGAAACATTTTCTAATAAATGTCATAGTGTTTGCTTATGCGTCTTTCTAAACCAACTTGTCGGTATTTATTACCAAGGTTTAAGATTGAGACACTTATGCAGCATATGGGAATCTTTATTCAGGAAACGTTCCGCCACACAGTGGCTTCATCAGTCCAATACAAAGAGGAAGGCGTAAGGAGAGGAGGAGTATGAGGTAATCAGTCCTTCAGCCTGGAGTCGATGTGTTCAGTCCATCAATCTTCTGGAATGTACAGCATAGGGCCGTAGACGTGGCTTTGGATGAAGACCTACTTCGACTAGTGGATGGTACCACTATGACCCCACCTCCGCCTGCTTCACCTCACCTCACTACAGTATATAAGCCACGTCTACGGCCCTATGCTGTACATTCCAGAAGATTGATGGACTGAACACATCGACTCCAGGCTGAAGGACTGATTACCTCATACTCCTCCTCTCCTTACGCCTTCCTCTTTGTATTGGACTGATGAAGCCACTGTGTGGTGAAACGTTTCCTGAATAAAGATTCCCATATGCTGCATAAGTGTCCCAATCTTCGACTTGTCGGTTTTTCAAACCATTCATCACACATTACCAAGGTTTATACCAGGTATACTAGCAAAATAGTTAGGAACTGGATCAAAAGGAGCATTGGAAATGACTTCCAATAAGACTAAAATTTGATGATATTGCCAGTGCATAAATCGTACCCAGACTGTCAACTTTGTACCTGCACAGTCTTGCATTTTTAGTATCACTAAGAAAAAGATTCTCTACCATTTCAGAAAATATTTTTCTTTAAAACCATGACACTGAGCACGTTTTATATCTGGAGTCACAACAGTGAAAGGTTTAAAGATCCATTCCTCTGGTAAATATGAAAACAGTATACAATACCAACAGGTTGATAAGACACAAAGGCAATGGTCAGGTCTGGAATAAAGATACCTAATGATACCACACGTGTCTTACTTATAATTCCTCTGGCCCCTCTGTATAAGGTATTAATTTCTTGTATCACTTCAGGTACCTAGCTTCATCCCAGAAGTATCTTCAGTAAGAATTTTTATTAAATTACTAAAAACCTTCAATATAATATACACTAGATATTCTTATTCTCAGGTACCACATGTGCCTTGTTGTCTAGTATATAAATTAGGTTGAAGACTGTTCAAAATGTCTTCCATAACAAGTGTTTCTATCGAGTAGTGTATACATGTCAGTTACCATAATTGTATACTGTACAGTACTCCACTTTACAGAAATAAAGTGTTTTGTTTGTTTTGTTAAAGTGGTGGAGAGGGGGATCAACTACTATTCTTCATGTAGACAATTATCATCATATCATAATGATTTAGCTAAGTGTAAACAATATCTTTACCTCATCTTGTCTAGTGTTTCACATCACTTTAAAAAGCTATGCAACCTGCCTACAGTAACAGAATTTTTGGACAGATAAGATGAACTCTATCAAAGAATATTAAGGAACCTTGCCCAGCTTAGGCCAGTAGGTCTGCATCAGTGATCCTTCCTTCTTAATTGGATGTAATATTTACCTGCTTAGCATGGGCCAGTAGACCTGCTGCAGTGCTCCTTCTTTATGTTCTTATATACAGGAAGGCCCCGCTTCACAGCGTTTCACTTTACAGCATTTCACTAATACAGCAGTTCTCAATTATACCTATTCTTCATTTATTCAGACTTCCTACACTATAAGCTAAGGATGAAAATATTTTAAGTAATGTGTGTATTGCATATGCAATTTTTAGGCCTAGGTCTACTGCTAATGCTAGTGTAAACATGTCATCAGCCCGAAACCTAACCTGCTTAATAAGTGGGGCCCTCCTGTACCCTACACAAGTTGTTGAGTGTCAACTGACCTGTGAGCTGCTGGTGTTGGCAGTGGAGAGCCCGTGCGGTAACTCAGGGGCACTGTGGTTGACCCTAGGTTAGAGGAAGGTGACTGTGCACGTGAGGGTAGTGGAGACGTCTGGTATTTATAACTTGTGCTGCTGAAAAAATAATAATTCTACGAATGCTGCACAAGTGACAAGTAACATCTTAGATACTAAATAGCATAATTAACAATTACATCACATGTTCATAATGGATTAATGCATATTTTGAAAAACTAAATTTTAATTCATGGATATCAGAATAAAGATATCAGAGGTTGGTGGATGAGTTTGGTAGGGTATGTAAAAGAAGGAAATTAAAAGTAAATATAGGAAAGAGTAAAGTGATGAGGATAACAAAAAAAAAATAGGAAACAAAAGATTGGATATCAGATTGGAGGGAGAGAGTATGGAGGTGAATGTATTCAGATATTTAGCAGTGGACGTGTCAGATGGGTCTATGAAAGATGAGGTGAATCATAGAACTGACAAGGGAAAAAAGGTGAGTGGAGCACTGAGGAGTCTGTGGAGACAAAGAACTTTATCCTTGGAAGCAAAGAGGGGAATGTATGAGAGGATAGTTGTACCAACACTCTGTATGGGTGTGAAGCATGGGTGATGAATGTTGCAACGAGAAGGTTGGAGTGGCAGTGGAGATGTCGTGACTGAGGGCAATATGTTGTGTGAATATAATGCAGAGAATCCATAGTCTGGAGATTAGGAGGAGGTGCAGGACTTGATGTGCTGTTGGAGTATGAGCAAGGTAACATTTATGAAGGGATTCAGGAAACCAGCAGGCTGGACTTGAGTCCTGGAGGTGGAAAATGCCTGGATACCTAGAGTATACCTGGAGAGGGTTTCAGGGGTCAATGCCCAGTCTGTGACCAGGCCTTACGGTGGATCAGGGCCTAATCAACCAGGCTGTTACTGTTGGCTGCATGCAACCTGATGTACAAATAACAGCCCAGCTGCTCAGGCACTGATTTTTAGAAGCCTGTCCAATGCCCTCTTGAAGACAGCCAAGGGTCTATTGGTAATCCCCCTTTATGTATGCTGGAAGGCAGCTGAACAGTCTTGGGCCCCTGACACTTATTGTGTTGTCTCTTATCGTGCTAGTGACACCCCTGCTTTTCATTGGGGGATGTTGCATCATCTGCCAAGTCTTTTGTTTTCATAGGGAGTGACTTTCATGTGCAAGTTTGGTACTAATCACTCCAGGATTTTCCAAGTGTATATAATCATGTATCTCTCCTGCCTGCATTCTAGGGAGTATAGGTTGAGGAAGTTCAAGCATTCCCAGTAATTTTTTTTTTTATTGTTTATTATCACACTCGCCGATTCCCACCAAGGCAGGGTGGCCCGAAAAAGAAAAACTTTCACCATCATTCACTCCATCACTGTCTTGCCAGAAGGGTGCTTTACACTACAGTTTTTAAACTGCAACATTAACACCCCTCTTTCAGAGTGCAGGCACTGTACTCCCAGTAATTCAGGTGTTTTATCTCAGTTGTGTGTGCCATGAAGGTTCTCTGTACACTTTCTAGGTCAGCAATTTCACCTGTCTTGAAAGGTGCTGTTAGTGTGCAGCAATATTTCAGCCTAAATAGAACAAGCGTCCTGAAGAATGTCATCATGGGCTACAGTGCCTGCACTCTGAAGGAGGGGTATTAATGTTTCAGATTTATAACTGTAGTATAAGCATGCCTCTGGCAAGACAGTGAGGGAGTGAATGATGATGAAAGTTTTTCTTCTACGGGCCACCCTGCCTAGGTGAGAAACGGCCGATGTGTTAATATAAAATAACGATAATAATAATAATAGTTCTTTAGAATAAAGGCAAAGGGGACAAAAGAGACTGCAAAAATTATAAGGGAATAAGTCTGTTGAGTATACCTGGTAAAGTGTATGGTAGAGTTATTATTGAAAGAATTAAGAGTAAGACAGAGTAGGATAGCAGATGAACAAGGAGGCTTTGGGAAAGGTAGGGGGTGTGTAGACCAAGTGTTGACAGTGAAATATATAGGTGAACAGTATTTAGATAATGGCAAAAAGGTTTTTGGGGCATTTATAGATTTGGAAAAGGCATATGACAGGGTGGATAGGGGGTCAATGTGGCAGATGTTGCAGGTGTATGGTATAGGAGGTAGGTTACTGAAAGCAGAGAAGAGTTTTTACGAGGATAGTGAGGCTCAAGTTAGAGTATGTAGGAGTGAGGGAGATTACCTCACAGTAAAAGTAGACCTTAGACAAGGATGTTTGATGTCACCATGATTACTCAATATATTTATAGATGGGGTTCTAAGAGAAGTGAATGTGCGGGTCTTGGCAAGAGTTGTGGAGATAAAAGATAAGGAATCAAACAAAAAGTGGGAGTTGTCACAGTTGCTCTTTGCTGATGACACTGTGTTCTTGGGTGATTCTGAAGAGAAGTTGCAGAGGTTGGTGGATGAATTTGGTAGGGTATGTAAAAGAAGAAAATTAAAAGTGAATATAGGAAAGGGTAAGGTGATGAGGATAACAAAAAGATTAGGTGATGAAAGATTGGATATCAGATTGGAGGGAGAGAGTATGGAGGAGGTGAATGTATTCAGATATTTAGAAGTGGATATGTCAGCAGATGGGTCTATGAAAGATGAGGTGAATCATAGAACTGATGAGGGGAAAAGGGTGAGTGGTGCACTTAGGAGTCTGCGGAGGCAAAGAATTCTGTCTGTGGAAGCAAAGAGGGGAATGTATGAGAGCATAGTTTTACCAACACTTTTATATGGGTGTAAAGCATGGGTAGTGAATATTGCAATAAGGAGAAGGCTGGAGGCAGTGGAGATGTTATGTCTGAGGGCAATGTGTGGTGTGAATATAATGCAGAGAATTCGTAGTTTGGAAATTAGGAAGAGGTGCGGGATTACCAAAACCATGATCCAGAGGGCTGAGGAGGGGTTGTTGAGGTGGTTTGGACATGTAGAGAGAATGAACAAGATAGAATGACTTCGAAAGTGTATAAATCTGTAGTGGAGGGAAGGCGGAGTAGGGGTCGGCCTAGGAAAGGTTGGAGGGAGGGAGGGGGTTAAGGAGGTTTTGTGTGTGAGGAGCTTGGATTTCCAGCAAGCATGTGTGAGTGTATTTGATAAGATTGAATTGAGACAAATGGTTTTTAATATGTGACATGCTGTTGGAGTGTGAGCAAAGTAACATTTATGAAGGGATTCAGGGAAACGGCAGGGCGGACTTGAGTCCTGGAGATGGGAAGTACAGTGTCTGCACTCTGAAGGAGTGGTGTTAATGTTGCAGTTTTATAACTGTAGTGTAAGCAAGCCTCTGGCAAGACAGTGATGGAGTGAATGATGATGAAAGTTTTTCTTTTTTGGGCCACCCTGGAGGTGGGAAGTACAGTGCCTGCACTCTGAAGGAGGGGTGGGGATATTTGCAGGTTTGAACTGTAGGATCGGCATGCCTCTGGTGATGGAGTGAGTAATGGTGAAAGTGCTTCTTCTCTTTTGGGTCACCCTGCCTCAGTGGGAGATGGCCAGTGTATTAAAAAAAAAATCATTCTAATGAAATGCAATAGTATATACAATTCTGGAAGACTTAAACTAAAAGAACAGTGAAACCTCAGTACTTGAACTGAATTTGTTCTAGAAGGCTGTTCAAGAGCTGATCTGTTCGAGTACTGAGCGAATTTTTCCCAACCAATTTTCTTTTTTGTTGGCTGTTTTCACTAATCTTCTTAGGCTCCATGGTGACTTATTTATACAAATAACATAAAAAGAAAACACGTGTTTATCTGGTCGAGTGCCAAGCAAACGGTCGACTACCGAGCGATTTTTTTACCAAACAAAGCATTCGAATACTGTACTTAACTTAATAAAATAAAATGCAGTATGTGGTTGTGGAGTTGTTTAACCCTTTCAGGGTCGAGAGGCCCTCTCCTAAACTTGTTCTCAGGGTCGAGAGGCCCTCTCCTAAACTTGTTCTCAGGGTCGAAAAATTTTTGGAAAAAAAAAAAAAAAAAAAAAAAAAATTCTTATGAAATGATAGAATCTTTTCCCAATCATAATGACACCAAAAGTATGAAATTTGATGGAAAACTTACAGAATTATGCTCTCGCAAAGTTAGCGGTCTCGCCGATGCATAAACATCGGCGATTCCGCCCACTTTGAGCTCTATTTTTTGGCCAATTCCTGTGTACTAGTCGACAAAAATCATATTTATTTCACTAGAACTCTGTTTTTTTCTATCGAAGGAGTACAAGAAACCACCCATTTACCAATTTCAACTATCCAATAAAGTGGTTAGAAATTGGTAATTTTGCCAATTTCACACAAATTTCAGAAGATGCCAATTTCCAAATAGGGTCCAGAATAAACAAGAAAGACATTCCTGGCACTAAAATAACAAGTTCTCTGTTCGTTAGTCACATCCCCAGGCCCCTCTTATACAGTGGACTCCCGGTTAACGATATTTTTTCATTCCAGAAGTATGTTCAGGTGCCAGTACTGACCGAATTTGTTCCTATAAGGAATATTGTGAAGTAGATTAGTCCATTTCAGACCCCCAAACATACACGTACAAACGCACTTACATAAATACACTTACATAATTGGTCGCATTGGGAGGTGATCGTTATGCGGGGTCCACTGTATTTCTTTTGCTTTCCACTTTGAATTTTTATTCTCACAAAAAATAGAAGATTTACTGTTATGCAGACTACTGCATTAGTGTAGAAATGGTATAAATAATACCGGCGCACTTGTGAAAGAATATTAGACTCACCAGTTGACGTGTATTGGACGCTTAGCATGATTTGTTTACTTTTGAATTTTGGTAAAAATCAAACATTTCTGCTACTTTGAGCTTAATTTCAAGGTACTTTTCATTGTGAAACCAGTCAAAATCATCTCAGTTTCTGTAAAATGTCTTCCATTCTATGAAATGAGACCAGGAAAACTAGAATACAACCATAAATGCCAAACGAAAATACAGTGCAAAGTCGCTGTTTTAGTCCAAAAACACGGTCAAAGTTTTTTTTTTTTCTCATTACACACTGTGCTGCAGAATTTTTTTTTTATACTGCGCACACTGACCACATAGACCCATTCTTTCATATGTAGGCCTA